ACATGTCAATGTTATGTAACGGTAGGTTAGTTTAATGTAGCTTGACAAATGTAAATAGACTTAAAGAATAAAGTGTTCAATTTCTGCAAATGGAAATAAATATTCGTTTTTTATTTCTGATGTTGGAATGAGATAACCCAACAACACACTAGATTGTGGATTAAAACAGATTTGAATATCTTAAACTACAATGTGTGGAAGAATGGAGTATATTAGATAATATTATACATTTATCACAATAAAAGTATCATCATCATCCGCAAGCTTGTAGCGTCAACAATTAAGCATATGTTTCCTTCAGTAAGTAGTGTCCATTGCTCCACATATTGTATCGTGATAATCCAATTTGTTGACACAGATTGACATGCTGGTTTTAAATATCATATCAGTTTGCCAAAAACACCCATGCTAATTTTATTCACATTTCTCCTAGTGACGTTTCTTAAAAATATATATTCCATCAGCCTTGTGAACAATTTCGGTAGGATGTTACAACCTTGCTATAATCCTTGTTCTTGTACCCATTTATAATCGTTTCTGTATTAGTGTAAAGCTTTTGTTGATGTATTAGCGGAACTTGCTGTTGCATATATATAATCTACTCAACAATTATTTAGTGCAACTAAGTAAAAGTTTGCCTTCGTTAACCAGGCCAAATGTTTTCTCGTAGTCCACAATACTTGAGGACTTACTTAATCACTAACAATTCGTTAAAAAAGTAGAAAGTACAGACACACACTGGAATTGCACAGTTTAAGTTTATTTACTCGTATATTCTGAGTATAAGAAACCAATTCATGAAAGATTCTTGCCGAGATAGATCCAGAAAGGAACAACCATAATAGAAGTGAAGTATCTAGCAGATGGAAAAATAAAAAAAAAAAAAGATGAAAGTGAACTTTTATAAGTTGTATAAAACTAATTTACAACTCATTGATAGATTAAAGGATAATATGATTAAAAAGCTTATTAATAGAGGTATTTATCATCTCATCTTTTTTACAAGTTCTCTCTGATGAATCCTAAACCTAAAATACACATATAAAGGGGATGGAAAAATGTGAAATCAAACAAATCAGGTAAAACGAAATCCTTATAAATCTTACATCTAAAGATAAAAAATATTTAAAAATATAAATAAAGGTTTAGAATCAACTTTATTGATGTTTGTGGTGAAGCAGTAACTGCCTTTGAGAATGAATTGATTCAAATCACTTCTAATACTGCCTAGATCGAATCTTAAATATAAGCAAAAAATTTTGAAGGGTAAGTATATGAATATTTAAGAACAATTTTATTGCAAAATGAATCAGGTAGTAATTGTAATTAATATACAGGTTTGAAGTAGAAGTGTATGAAAGTTTGTATACTGTCCCAAATAAGTAGCATTATGACATGAAGTAACTGTTCAGCTACAATTAATAAAAATTGATTATAAAATTAAATGTGAATACATACAAAGAGTGAAGACATAATTGTAGTGTTAGATTGAAATTATGAGTGGCCATGAAGTTGTATATTTTAAATTGGATACAAAATATTTACAGGAAGTTTAATATTTGTATAACTCTAAATAAATGAAAGGTTTTATTATTATTTTTTTTTGATCAGCACAAGTATTAAATTTATAATTATTGTGTCCAGTTTACCAAAAATTCACCATCAGGAAAGGATGTTAGGAAAATTTAAAGCAAGTTGATTAAACATATGGAATAATTTAAACTATTGAAAATATTCTTATTAAAACATTTTGTTCATTCAAAACAAATTTCTTTTCTGCAACAAATAAAACTTTATGCAGCATTTCTAGTGATTTATTGTCTTCTTCACACTTTTCAATGTGATTTCTGAGGTTTTCACATTTTATATAAAGTTGTATCAAAATATTACAGCTGGAGAAATATTACTTAATACCTAGCTGGAGATAGGATTTTAGTATTTCTGCTTATTATTCAGCCATCAAAAAACTCTATTATATGAAAGTAATATTCAATCATTTTTGCGTTTGTTGTATTGATTGCCATTTTTATTTAATTTTCTGAATTACTGAATTACTCTACACACACACTACATTAATAAACTTATCTTGATTGAGACTGGCTGAATGACAATTGTCCAAGCCAAAACACAAAAAAAAATCTGAATTTTTTAAATATAGGTCCAACCAATAATGCCATGTCATAAATGACAGTCACATGATTCACCTTGATAATGTCAGTCACATCATTCAGCAAAACTTAGTAGTGACTAAAGTAGTAACCTCACTTAGCCAACCTATAATGATTTTCTTGGTGGTTTTATAGAGAAATAATACAAATAAATAAATATAGAGAGACAGTGTTTGAGTAAAAATATACAAGAAATAAAGTAATTTATTCTGAAAATATATCAGCACCACAAATAACTTTTTGAACAGTAAAAGATGAAAATAGTACATTATGTCAAATTACATAATACCATTGAAGATAAACTCAAATTATATGTTGAAGGACATTATAAACTTTAGGAAAAGAGAATAAATATATACTTTTTTAAAAAACAGCTTTGTAGAATAGAACTTACGAAGAATTATCTGCAAACATGACAAAAGTATAAAGAAGTAAATTAAATCATTGTTAATATACCAAAGGGAGGGATAATAAAATTATCATAAAACATTGATGAAACACATATTGAAGAATATACTCAATATAAGCCAAAACACTAGGGCATGTTATCAGGAGAGAGGAAGGTGCAACATCCAGAAAGGTTTTTGACTGAATAGGACTGATTAACAAGCCACAGGAAGACTGAGATTAAGGTATCAAAAAGAGAGAGATGAAGAGAATGATTTAAATTATATTGGATGAATAGATTTCAAGACAAGTTGCCAGAGTTGATGGGGAGACAATTTGAAAGAGACAGGAGCAAATGGATGATTGTTCTGAAGAAGGCTTTGGCTCACAATGAGCTGATGTTGATGATACAACAAAACAGTTATTTATATAAACACTATCAGGCAAAACATACCTAACTTTTATTGCAAAAGATAATAGCAGAATCCAATATAAAGAATTCTTCCAGCTAACAAAAGAATAAATGGAAAGATATTGAAAGGTAGCCCAGAAAAAGAAATTTATGAGATATATTATGAAATACAAGGTTAGGAATGGAAAAACAATAATAAAATTGTTAACATAGTTGGAATCAAAAGCACATCTTAAAAAACAGTTTGATATGGCCTATTGTAATGTAAGGAAGTGGTTTTGGATGGTAACAAAACAAGACACATTAAAGCCAATACTAAGGAAAACATTGCTTGCAAACAGTTTAAGAGGACATCTGAAAATATTAAGATAAAACCACAGAATTAAAGTTATAGATTGGAGATCCTAATATTACATGGTATCAGTGCTTTGTAAGTCCTACTTGTAATTGAAATGTTCACCGAGGTTTCACTTTTTATACTACAACTGTGTAATTAGATTTATCCATATTTAGTGTTACCTTGTGGTGATCTAGAATTTATTAAAATCATCTTCTATACAATCATCAATAATTTAACTTGATGTCTTCTTAAAAAATATATGAGACATGCGTCATCAGTGTATACATCTAATTGGGGCAGATAATGGAGGAAAATCAAACTCCCGCAATTACCAGAAGAATAAGGTTAGCTTGGGCAGGATTTGGAAAACCGAGTTGGTTTTTAAAAAGCACTAAAATAGAACAATATTTGAAAACCAGAATTTGTGATCAGTGTGTCCTCCCTATATTCACATATGGCTCACAGATGTGCACACTCACCAAGTCTAATATGGATAAAATAGTAAAGGCACAAAGAGTGATGGAAAGATCAATGCTTGGGGTGAGACTTATAGACAAAAAAAAAACAAACAAATGGATTAGAAGCAAAACCAAAGTAAAAGATGCAGGAGAACATGCTGTCAGCAGGACACAATGCCCTACTGAAGGATAAAAGATGAAACTACAAAATACAACAATGAAGACCATGGTTAGGAAAGAGGGGCAGAGGAAGACCACAAATGAGATGGGCTGATGACATGAAGTAGATCGGACACAACTGGAAGCAAGTGGCGCAAAATAGAAAAAACTTTGGGTTAGGCCTATGTCCAAAGTTGGATTACTTAAGGCTGAAGAAGAAGTATCATCAGCATATAATTGTAATGGACCTTGCAAATAAAATACACATCAATAAACTTACATGTAAAGAAAAATAAAAAATGTAAGATTAAAGTTAAAGATATATCATGAAATAGAAGGTTAAGAATTGAAAAAAAAATCATAAAACTCAAACAATTTTGGGGCATAAAGTTTAACCTAAAAATATACAAAAGTTTTACACTTAGACAATAAGACAAATTATATCCAAGAATATTGTAATAACTATTTTTTCCTCCCAGATATAAATAATACAGACAAGGTAAGAGAACAGCTAGAATTATTAAGACAATTTAAGTATAGAATACTTTAACAGATTTGCATCATATTTCATCATATAGATTCGCATTCATAGTAGAATAAAAAAAATATAAAGATTAAATTCATTACTTCAATGACTAAAAATCAGGACAGATTATAAAGTGAAAAAAAAAGTATCCAGAAAAATGTGGGCCACATTTCTACAAACATAATAAAATAATACTTCTACTGACTGACTGCAAATATAAACCACTAGCTACAGATATTTTATCAAATATAAAACACAAGTGTTTATTAACATGATATTATTTCTTGTAAAACAAAAATAAATAGGTATTGTTTAGTTTTAGTAATCACATTACTTTTAAAAGGATTCATGTGATAAAACGGATATCTGAGCAAAGAAAATAATATGTTAATTTAATTGTATTACTAATTATACTTAATGATAATAGATATGAAAAAATCATTTTGATTATTATCATAGATAATGTAACATACGAATTTGTGCCTTGTAATATTATTATTATTATATATCTTCTATACTTTGCGACAACATTTAAAATCAAATGACTTACCTTATGTACCCTTATTATCCAATTTTAGGGACCAACTAGTAAGTAGACTGTGTCCTAAAAAGAAAAAGATATCGTTAATTATAGTTCGGATTCTTTTAAGTTCTATTTTAGAGATTATAATACTGTTTACCTAGTAAATCCGCCTTGAACTCTTAATATCTTTATTCTTAAAATAAAAATTGACATTCATACATTTGGAAAATTACTAATAATCCAGATTTAAGTCTTCTACTTTGTTTATCTATTTTTGAATAGGTAGTTACTTAACACTAATGATAAACAAAATAGCGAAATGCACACAAAACTTTAAATTAATATCATATTGTTCACTTTGTTTTGTACTACTGAAAACTCAAATTTATGACACCACCTTATCTTCATAACCTATAAATTTGACAGGTCATGTACAGACAGATGACAAACCTGCTGGTTCTTGTCAAGAATAACAAGGCGGAATAATTTAATTCCAAGAATTTGATTGTTGTCTTTTAAGGATACTTTACCTCTTTACCTATTTATCTCCTGTATAAGAAGCAAGTATTAAATTTCTGATTTATTAATTTGGATAATTGTATTTTGTATAAACGAAATCTGTGAATAAATAATAAAAAAAGAAATCAAAGTTTTAAATAATTCAACCTGACGTCACATAAAGTGGGGGAAGTTGTAACTGGAAACCAACCATTGGGCGAATGTCAACAATAGCAACTGTCAGAAGTGTCAAATCAATTGAAGAGTACATAATGTGTCAGTAATGTTTGAAATAATAAGTTTGTATTTATGATAAAAAACAATAATTAAAAGCAATGTCTCAAGATACAGTTCCCTCCTTAAGCCAATACTTCGGTGCAACTGGAAACAAAGAGGACCAAATTGATTTTTCCCAGGAACTCATTGACACTACAGGACAAATTAGTAATTTAAATATAGAGGACAATCAGAAAACTACTAATAAAAATGAACCAGAAGTATGTAGAATATTTTCAGAAACTCCCATGCAGTCAAAAGATCCCACAGAAGCATTTTTTGATTTGATTGGTAATACCAGTCAAATGACTGGTGCAAATAAAGTTATTTCAGATTTGGGTCTACCTGCAAGTAATGAGGAAACTTATAGTAGTTCAAGACTTATGGTAGGAACTGAAACGGACAGACGCAGAGATGCTTGGATTCCATGTGAAAAGACCAGGCAGTGTTTAATAGCAGCTGCAACTGCTACTCCTGGTACATACTTTCCACAAAGAGAGTTGTTGACTATGCCAGGAGTACTTCTAGAAGAAGAATTGGTAAGTAAAATTATAATATATTTATAGTTCTTTTGAGTAAAGGAGTTTCAGATAGTTATATAAATTATGGGTTAGTGTAAGTTTATTAAGTATCTAACTCTGCTTTTGAAAAATTGTTGATTTTTGTAAAATTAGATTCTAAATAAAGTCCTTATTATCCCATAGAATTCTACAGAATCTTCCCATAGAACCGATGTGGTTCTAGATTCTAATTGTGTTGCTAGATCAAAATAGCATCTCTTAGCAAGGAGGATTTATCTCCTGATTTTGTTTTTTTTTTATATCATTTTTTTATCAACAAATGAGCCAAGATATACAAAAGGCTTGCCTATTTATAATTAATTTGTCTTTTTTAATGAAATGGTATGAGGCAATACCATATTCCCTTTTGTCTCAATGCTGATATTTGATATATTGTTAACTTTTCTCCCTAGAAATTAATTATATTTTCCTACTGTATTCTCTGTATAGGCTTTTAGGTAGGAGCATAGGATATAAGAGAATATTTTATATAATGAGCAAAATTCTTTTTTTTTCAATTGCAAAGTATACCAAGTACTTAACATTCCCCTCTTGCTGATTTATTTTGTCATCTATTTATGTAATTAGATTTATGTGCATAGTATTTACCTAATGTTATATAATTTTATATATTATTTTTTATGTTAATATATTTTCAGTTACTAAGATCTGACAGTGATGATTTTAATGGTTATGATTTTTGTTGTCTGTCAGTTTCAGGACAGTGCTAAACAGGATATAAGAATTTGTTGTATAAGTAGTTGTTCAGTAAGAATAATTCCACCAGTAGGTCTGATGAGTCCTGCTAGGACAAAAGATGTATAAGCGAATTGTAGAGACACTATAAGTATGTGCAACAGAATTTTAACTGACTTTTATATATCTTTATTTACTCATATTTTGAGTATAAGAAACCAGATCACAAAAGGTTCTTACTTACAATGCAATGTTAGATTTAAAATCTTCAGATTTCTTTTTTCTGTTTAATTCACCATAGTTTAACAGTATTTGGAATTCTGTTTTGACCTGAAACCCTTGTGTTTTCTCTATTACTTTCTTTATCTCTTCTATGGTGATGATTACATTTTCTATAATTGACATTTGAAATGAAGAACAAATTTTTATTTATTAATTAAGCCAATAATTTTTTGACTAGTTTTAAATATATTACTTTTTTGCTTCAGGGAGATGCTGTAGGGGAAGCTGTTTCCATGTGCCTTGGAGAAGCAGAAGCTGCTCAAAGAAGAGTATTAGGTGCTGGTGATGTAACACAAGATGAACGGGGCCTTAGGGAGTTGGTACAAGCTGGAGCATACAGAGCAGCAATTAACTTGACTGCCAGACTTCTAACAATTTATGGTCAAGGTAGAGGAAGGTCCGGCCATCCCAGCAAACATTCTCCACATTCCTTACAACTTTGGTTTACAAGAATAGCATTGTTGATAAAAACAAAGCTGTTTAATATTGCCAGTGCAGAAGCAGAGCCTTTTGGTAATCTAGATAAGCCAGATATGTATTTTCAGGTAAAAGCATTTTGCAAATGTTTCTTTAGTTATTAAGATCCTCTGTAAATAAACAACATACCTGATAAAAAATACAAACATTTACATATTTGTTGTTTTAATAAATAAATAAAGCTTTATGTATAATAATAAATGAATAGTGAGCAATTCAATATTTATTTCTGAACATTTCTCTATAACCTGTTGATGTCAGGAATAAACCCCAAAGTTTCATGTCATTATAAAACACTATGAGCTACCTAGTCTAAGGTATTTGAATATTCCTATATGCACAATACTTTAGATGCTTTATATTGTTTCAATAGAATGAATATATTGAACAATAATGAGAAAACATGAGAAACATTAAATTGAAGGGCTTATTGTTATATAATAATAAGCGTAAATCAATGTTAAAATTTAAATAAAAATTATAAAATCAGAAACATATTTATTCTACATTTAACTGGTTTAATTGAAACAAGTATATAATAATCTATAATACAAACTACAAAGAAACATAAAATTTGCATTAGTGTGCTCAAAAACACATAATTAACATTTTTTATGTGGCTTGTCATACTATGACAAAAATAAAATACACTTTTTGATATACATGAGCCAACTAGAATTATGTTACTCCAGAAATTCTGCTTCACCATCTTCTTTATTTTGGTCAGGCTGAAGGGATTCATAATAATGGTGATATAGGGTATATATGGCAATAAAGTTTTTATGTTGTCTTTTTTTTTCGAAATGTTGACAGGTTCTTTGTATTTAAGTGTTAACGAATCGAGTGTTAGCAGTGGCGGCCTTCCTTTTTTTAATAAATTAATTTCCTGGTATGCACCATTACCAACCTACTTAACAAAACATGCATTGGAAGTATTAATGTCCAACATAAATGAAAACACCACTGAAAAATCAAGTTTGTTACTGTCATCAGTTTTGGTCGCTCTTTTGACATTCTGTTGTATTATGCTGACATGTTTGAAGTCATTTTGTTCCGTTATTGTGACCTCAAAAGGATTTTCTTTATTCAATTTTTAAATAATATCATACCATTCTTATGGGGAATATATTAATGGAGCACATTTCCGGTGGTGTTTTTCTATGAGAGCAAAGTCTCGATCTGATGGTAAGTACGTGTGGCCGCTAACCTGGAAGTGGTGGGTAATTTTTTTAAATTTTCTTTCATTAACCATTTGCAACTACAAGGCCATTAACATCCAGTTTTTATTTGGTCCCAGGCAGTTGTCAGTGAATAACACTAGTTCATCAATGTCCTATTTATTAGATAAAAACTTTAAAACAGTACTTCTAATTTCACCACTACCTCTTTTAGCTGTGTCTTCCGTCCACACAAACATGTGCCCTTTTCCGAACCACAGTCATGTATACCATTATAAAGCCATACTTTTCTGCAGTAAAAAGCTACTCTTGTAGTCAGTTTCGGTACTGGCAGGGCCTGCTGTAAATCGAATGTTACAACTATTTTTTTATCATTGGTTTTTTGCATAAGCAGTTTCTGTTTTTTGCTGCTTCTATTTTAATCGCATGTCTTGCAGGTGTCGGATTTTGGCAACTTAAACCCTATATTAAAATTGGTTCAAAAGATTTTCCTAAATGTCGATGCAGAAACAGGCGGTATCACACCATGGAACATAAAACTCTTCATATAAACGAGTTATTGACATATCAATATTTAAATAAGCCTTTCCTAGATTATTAGATCAACTATAGTGACTCTGATACTTTTGAATAAGGTTAATATGGTCTTTAACAGACTGAATAGCTTCATCACTTATTCTATTTGGTTTATTATTATGTTTTCCATAATCATCCATTATTTATTCTACCTCGGACATTCTAAGACCATGAACGGACATAAATTCTGATTTACATATTTTGATTGTATTTTCCATGTATAACCACATTGTATTTTCTTCCAGACACTACCCTTTTAGTTTTTTTCGGATAATGTCGTTTTTTATTACATATTTTAATGCATCCAAATAGGTATGAATTTTGAATATCAAAGGACCCAAGATTCCAGAATTGTGTAAAAATAATTTCTCGATTTTCGTCAAATTTTGTTGCACAGTTCTTTGAACAAAGGCAAGGTTGTCCAATTTCTCACTTTATTTTTACTTTCACTATAATATTCGTGTCCCTTATTACGTTTGAATTTTCTTTGGTTTTTTTTTGTATTCAGATGATTTTCGTTTTCGCCAACAGGATGATTTTTTTGCATTTTCGCCTACTACATTTTCTAGATTATTGCCTTTGAAAATGTTCTCACTCGAAACATTTTCCGAATCGTCCTGAAAAAAAAATTATTTTCAATGTGCTATATAATGAGAAGCCACACTAAATTCTACACAATAAGTTTAAAGTTTAACAAAGAAAAATGTACTACAAACATAAGTAAAAAATTATAATAATAACTTATATTCTAATAATAGTTGTTGCCATTCTTATTATTTTTACAAATTCGCGCAATAAAAACGGAAAATGTTGTCGTAAAATAGTTATTACCTTTGAATCTGGATCATAATTTGGATCTTGATCACTATCATCTAATGTTGGATCACTATGTAAATCATTATTGCTATTTGTGCTATCTAGTTGGTCCATATTTTCACAGAAAACACCGTTTTTATCGTCACAGGTTGTCAAAGGCGAGTAGGCGGAGGCCATATTAGAAAGTGGTTTGTCACTATCTGCATAAAATATTTCACAGAAACACCACTTTGCAATATAGTGATTCGGTTCCTGTGCTGCCATCTGTGATCTGCCATCAAATATCCAGAAAATGAACAAATGTGGCTTGTCATTATTTAGCAATAAACCCTTCAATTACAGTTTTAACACGTTTGATACCGCTCTAACTTTGTGTAATACCACATTTTTGTATTGGATCCAAAGTTACGTTTTGAATTAATAACTATCTCCAAAAATATTGTTTTTACAAATAACCTGATGCATATAAGTGGCAGTGGCACTGAACCTTGAAGATCGCGACCAGATTCCATCAATGCTTATAATCCTGTCCCATAAAATCAAGTAAATCTTAATTTGTTCATAATACATTTCAATAAAGTAAATTTCAAGAACAGTCAATAGGTCTTTTATGTTTTCCAGTTATTACTGATTTCCATGTAATTCCAAAAGTAATTGTGGATTTTTGTTTTGGTGCTACCGACAAAAATATGTTTTCGGCGTTTATATTTGTTTTATCATCTTCTTTCAATGGCGCTACAGCTCAAATTGAGCCTTGGCATCCCGTAATTTCTGTCTTCAATATACGCGGTCCTGCACTGCTCGTCTTTCGTCGTCTTTTGCCTATTGCCCTTGTGCTATCAGTGGATACCCTTTTGTTTTTTTCTAAATAAATTTGAAGATAATTAACATTTTTTCGTGTTGGGTGGCACCCATTTTGTAGTTATATTTTAGTTGTTTAGTAAAGTCTTTAATCTGATATCAAATGGTAGAATAAAGAACATGTATGAAATTAAAATTAATAAAAGGAGAAATCTGATGGTAAAAAATCAAGCGCTCAATCACCAAGGTGACACAATTGCACAGCTAATTTATTGATACATGCATGTGGTACTAAGATAGAATATCCCACTATTTGCGTTGTAATACAATAATGTCTTTCAAATTTTATTTCATTAAATTTTGTGATTAACAATTTTTCCTTTAACAGTTTTATCCAGATATGTATGGTGGACGACCAGGTTCAATGGCATCATTTTCATTCCGTCTATTACTCGCCGAACTTCCTACGCATTGTGGAAAACCTAAAGAATCCATAACGAGACTATTCAACCTTCTCGCCACGATTCGTCAAATTCTCTCCAATCTCAAACGCGGGCAATGTGAAGATGGAAATCCCATGGAATTATCTGAAACGGATAGGAGTGATTCTTTACGACTTTGGATGGGCAGAGAAGTCAGAGTTATGCATTCCATAATCAATTCGGCTCTCGCTGTCAGGGATTATGAGTTGGCCATGGATTTATTGGGACAACTGTGTGAAAGGTAAGGCATTTAAAAATATTAGTAAACCCTTCACTTCAGTCGTCAAAGACGAAAATGCCACTGAACCCCTAAAAATCATACGAACAAGCTGAATTTTGCTAAGAATATTAATTTTGAGATTCCAAAAATGATTAAAAAAAGTTTGCCAGTTATATCCTCGGACTTCTCCCCATAACCCCCTCGTAAAGTGGTAAAACGGAAAACATTCATTTACCAAGAATCTGTACTCAGTAAAAAAAATGTTTCAAACAAGAAATGTAGCTGAGATAATTTTGAACAAAAATGTTTATTAGTACTTTTTGTCTAGAAAAAATCGATCTCTCAGAAACTACGCTTGAAGCGACCAGTGAAGAGAAGCGACAGAGAAGCGACTCGACGGCTGTATTTTAATCAGAGTGTCCTATCAACATTTGAAAGGTGAAGAGTGCAACTTTCGTACCCAATTATTGCATTTCGCCGAAAATGAACTCAGTTTCTATAAAGCTGCCAAATAAATAAACTTTGCACGATTTTTGTTATTCTCATGAGATCAATAAAATTTATCACTTTCATGATCCTGTTACTCCAAGCTCAATTTTAATTTCGCAGCATGTTCTCCTGCGTCTTTTAATTTGGTTTTGCTTCTAATCCATTTGTTTGTTTTTTTTTGTCTGTAAGTCTCACCCCGAGCATTGATCTTTCCATCGCTCTTTGTGCTTTTACTATTTTATCCATATTAGACTTGGTGAGTGTCCACGTCTGTGAACCATACATGAGTATAGTGAGGATACACTCAGTTTTCCAAATACTGCCCATGCTAACCTTATTCTTCTGGTAATTTCGCCAGTTTGATTTTATTTATTAACTTTCATTATCTGTCCCAGGTAGATGTATTCGCTTACTATTTCTAAATGTATGTCGTTTAACGTTATTTCTCTAATGTTCGATGTATTTCTCATTATTTTTGTTTTTTTTTTAAGTTCATCTTAAGACCTAGTTTTTCCAAAGCTTGAAATAGTTACGTTATCATGGTCTGTAGTTCTTCGAAACTTGTAGCGAATATTACAATGTCATCAGCGTATCTCAAATGATCTGCTATACTGTAACCCTTTCAGAATCCTGCCTGCTCTATCGGTTGATAGCTATCGAGCTTCGACTTAACCTGTTAGTTATTACTCTCATAAACAGTTTGTACATTTGGGACAGCAGGGAGATTGGCCTATAGTTCTTCAGATCTCCCCTGTCTCTCTTTTTAAAGAGATGTATTGTCAAACTTTAATTCCAATCATATGGGACTTCTCCTCTGTAAAGACATTCGTTGAATAAATTTTTCAATTCTTCGAGAATAATTTCACTCCCCTCCTTCAACATTTCTACAAGTATTCCATCTGGGCCCGGAGCGTTATTGTTCTTTAGTTGTGCCATAGCTTGTTTTATTTCGAAAGATTCTATGTTAGGGAGTATTTCTGAGTTGACATTCGTTATCTTTCTCTTAAGATCTTCCCACGGTAAAATGTTTGAGTAACTTTTAGGATATCGTTTTTTTTCTCTTATTTCATTTCCATTTTTATCCTTCAATGAGATTATTATAGGCTTAATACTTCTCTGCACTCATCTCCCGTCTGTCGTATTTTAGTAATCTAATCTTCTAATCTGTACCAGTAGGTACGTTAATGGCTTAGAGAAACTGACTTTGTTAGCGGCAAGAATGCTTTCGCATACAAAAATTGCATACGAAAGCTGCAATCTTCGCCTTTTAATTTTTGTCGATAGGAAACTCTGATCAAAAGATATTGAATGTTTACCGTCGAGTTGATACAAATTTTATTTAAAAAAATTATTTAGCGCGCGTAAAACATTCAAAATCGCCGGTCGTTTTAAGCATTGTTTCTGAGAGAACGGTTCATTTTACATATAAAGTGCTAATTATCGTTTTTGTTCAAAATTATCTCAGCTACATTTCTCTCTCGAAACATTTTTTTATTTGCGTACAGATTCTTCGTAAACCGATGATTCTAGAAGGTAAACTCAGTAATAGCAATGGCAAAGTTTTTTGCATTTTTTTCGGGGTCCCAAAATTTACATTCTGAGCAAAATTCAGCTTGTTCGTATGCCTTTTAAAAGTCAAATATCTGTGTTTAGGTTGTTATTTTAGAGACTCTTATTGAAATGCATCATAATAATTGTTAAATATTCCGCAAATATTTTGCCAGTTGTATTATCACACTCTCTAGGAAACGTGGCAAATGAATCAGGTTAAAAAGAACGGCAGAAAAGGTTTACGTCATGAAATAATAGTTTAACCAGAAAGTTCGATAAGCTTGATAAAATATCAAAGTTAATTATAGTTATATTTATATTTTATACTCTTTCCTAATACAATATTTACAGTTACATCATTTAAAGCATTGGAGAAAATTTTAAATTCTAACCAAATAGGCATATCGAATCAATTACATTTATGGTACATAAAATCAAATTTAATTATTATTATGGTATCCACAATATCGACTAATTAGCTGTTAATATTATTAGCAGTAATCTTTGCGCTTATTATACAGTTATCAGGACCGGACTGGCCTGCAGGCCGGTGCGCATTTTTAGCATCTATCCATAAAAAATTTAGAACCTTTACCTAAAGCTGATGCAACTACCGTTTCCCTACATTTTTAACTTGCTCCTGATTTCGCCGTTTGATTGATTCATTTATGCAAAGATCATTTGAGTATGGTATTTTGCAAATTACAACTCGAAAATAGCACGCAGGATTTTGTGTTAATAGCTGAGATGCGCCGTGCGGCGTACTCGAAGGCTATTTTTATAATTCGAGCACCGCTAATACCGTTAGCCGCTGATTCTGTTATGATATAAGAGTATTTCATCCCTCATTTGTTCTAAAATATACAAGTGCTTCTTTCGGAGCTTACTAACTTCATTATACATATAGGAGTGGATCCCAGAATCTGTTTCGCCCCAGAATCCTACATAACGAAGCCAGTGGGTACAACAAACAGCGCCCTTACACTTTAGGTTGTGGGATAAAATAGTAAGCACCAACTACTTCTTCTTCTTCCACTTATAATCAATTCTGCTCGTTCATTGGCGGATTAATACATCTATGGAAGGTTGTAACTCCATCTTTTGCGCGGTCGTCCGATACTTCTGCCGATTGGTGACTTATTTCTTGCTATTTTGACGGCTCCTCCATTCTGCTTATGTGGTTATTCCATTTTTTTTTCTATTTTTTGTCCTTTCATTTATACACTGTACGGTACATTTTCTTCTAATGTCTTCGCTTCTCTTTCGATCTCCCAGCGTATTTCCTGTAACTCTTCTCAGCACTCTCACTCTCATCTCTGCCGTTTCCTTTGCGTTGTGGCTGTGTCGGGTCTTGTTTCTGAGGCATATGTCATTATTATGCCAGGTCCAGACCAAACAGACAAAACAAAAACATTCATGTTTCGCGACAAAGTGGCTACAAATCGAAAACATTTGTTGAGACATTTCTGAACAATTTTGTTTTGTTTGCAAATTTGAAAACTTTTTCAGGTCCCTTCTCAGGTCGGTAAAGATCAAAAAGTCTGTGTTTTGTCTGTGTATTTGACGACAAGTGGTCGGCGTAGTGTGGACGCCTGTGCGTGTCAAAACGAGTTAAGCAGTAGGAGAAATAGAATGTACAATTTTTATCAAAATTAAGTGTATTTTTCTGTTACTTAGTCTCAACACAAATGTTCACTCAACTCCATCCAACTCCAACCCACAACATTTGTACTCAAATCCACCCAGCACTGACACACAACATTCATACTCAAATCCTCCCAGCATTAACACACGTTCATACTCAATTCCTCCCAGCATTGATACACATTTATACTCAAATCCACCCAGCATTGAACATTTATACTCAAATCCACCCAACACGCAACATTCATACTCAAATCCACCCAGTGCTGACCCACAAAACTATTACTTAAATCCACCAAACACCAACACACAACCTTTATTATCACATCCACCTAGTATTGACACAGAGCTTTCTCAGTATTCAGATCAAGAAAACGAACGAAATTGATGATGAACTTTTTGAATGTAAAAACAAGTAGACTCGTCATTATTTTGCATGTAGTATGTACCTATCGCCAACTTCTTTTGTATTAAACATTTAACCAATAAATATGGAGTTTATTTTAAGGGATATTAACAAAAAAATAATATTGAAAAAAGTTTAACATACTTATACATAAGACTGTTAATTAGAGCTTTACATATTTCAGGTATTATTACAGATATTGATTGCTTTGATACTTTTGAAAGATACATTAGGCTGTGGTAGGAATCACCTGTTGCTAAAAATCTTAAAGTAATTGCTAACATTTCTGTTACACTCATAGCATTTCTAAAGTTAGTATGTCTTTTTGCAACTGCAGGACCAACAAGGCATATTAGATTCTCAAAATCTTCGGTGGACATTCTTAAAAAAATTTTGAAGCTTGATCGAATTTCACCACTTAGTGCAATATCATCTGCTCGCAGCTGAACTAACAATTTGTCTATCGAACAACTTTCTCGCATTTTTAGGCTTGGTCTAATCCAAAAACGTTTGGGTTTTCTTTTAGCAACCTGGGATGATGAGAGCAAAAAAAAACTTGCGGCTAGCAAAAAATCTTCAGTTTCATTTTTTTCTTGATTAAAACGCCACATGGTTAACCAACACTAATCACAACAACAACGTCACCAACTGAATTTGTTTTTATATTTTGTTGTTCTGGTGTGGACAGTTTGTCTCAATTTTGTTTTGTCTTTTGACGACAAATTTTGTCGCCGGTTTATCGTGTTTTTGTTTCAGAATTGTGTTTTCGTTTTGTCTGCTTAGTCTGGACCGGCATTAGTCTTACACTGGCTTTATACATTTTTGACTTCATCTTAGTGTTAATCTGTCTGTTTCGCCTCTTCTTCTTTCAGTGCCCTGTCCGATTATCGAACGTTGGCGATCATATTGGCAATAATAACCTTATTTACGG